TTACTGTATATAGTTAGATACTTAAACATTATTGTTAAATTAGCAAATTTATTGTATTCAGAAGGTTTGTCATTTATAAATATTGAAGCATCTATTAATCGGAAATAGAATCATTTAATTTAATTAAATTTATAAAATAATTATTTTATAAACTAATGTAATAATAATATTATTATTATTACATTAGTTTATATGTTGCTGACGTACTGGCCAAATAATTTTGTAGTCCATATTTTGTATTTTTTATTATTAAGAATCTTATAATATTTTTTTTAAGCAGAATATTAGTCCAATAAAGATTTTGACAGACAACATAATATGTCTTATGAAATCTATACGTATACTACTGTTGTAATGGGACAAAGGGATATTGAACGGTTAAAAGTAAACTCCGATATTGCTACTAGTTTTGTTTAATATTGCATGCATCGAAACAATTTAGGATGAACATATTTTAGGGTAAACATTCCAAAATATAATACGTGTGACGTCATCATCAATGCTTACGGAATTGCGTATAAACTCGTGGTGTCATCCAGTCAAAAAAAATCTTATCTCTTTTTTTTTACTTCACAAATGATAAGCAATGATATTATCGCTAACTTGCAGACAATATTTGCTTTACCATGAATACTGGCGATCAGAATTTATCTTGTCTATACTATCTAATCAAATGAAACTTTTATAAGATAAATAATATCTTATTTCAGGGCAGTTTTTTTATGGGGCAAGCATAGACAATCAGAAGAGATAGCGCTATTCTATTGTTTTTTTTTCATATATCTTTCGTTTACAAATTTACATTTATATTTTTATTCTATGTTCAGATTACTGTCCTTTCCTTAGCAATTAGTTAAGAGGTATAGTAATAATAAGATATATAAGAATAATAAAACTTTTAGAAATGTACTGGATAAACACCATTCGCTTGAATTTCTAGTTATCTACAACCACATTTTAGTTTACGAGTACATTCTTTATCTGTCCGTGGTTCGGCTCCGCCATATGTTACCGTTAGATATATCCTAAAAGCTAGCTCATTACTTGGTTATTAAGATAGTTACCAGTTCGGTAACGGCGAAAGTTTCTTTGAATTTTAAATGTATAATTAACTAGGTGCTCTGTGTTACAAAAGCGGTATTAACTTGCTCGTTACCAGTTGTTTTGAGGTTACGTCCACTTTTGCGATTATCAGCAATTCCATTAATGTTAACGTCCTTATTTTATGCTAGTAACGAACTCGGGATTCCAACGAGTGCGAGTAGAGATTTTAGGAATCTTCAATTTACACAATCCAGACTTCTTCCTGACAATGTAGCATTTTTCTTCTCTATTTCAGGCATATATTTTTTAATAACCATTATTGCATTCTTGCTATAATAAATACAATAATAATGATCAGTTAATTCACGATATATCATATCGGCGTTAGTGTTCTACCTTCCCGTAATCTATATGTTATTGCTATTGCAATTATATTAATAATGTATAAATTTAATAACAACACCAATATATATATACGGAAAAAAGGTATATGTTTTCTTAATATAACTAATTTCAACTTTATTCATAAACAGTTTTCGGTAAATAATAAGCAATTTTTATTCAACTCCTTTCATTTGCTTAAGCGTGACTCAGTAACAAACATTTAAAATACGAGCATCGTTATACATTTTGTAATTTATAATATGGAAAAAATTACTTATTAATTAATATATCACACACAACTTTCAAATAGATGCATTGCAATATGATTATGTTCGCGGTTTATGAAATATGAACTGCATTATTGCAATTGACATTGTAATTTTACATAATAAGCAAAATTATTAAGCAATATAGGCATCGCGCTATGGGCGTGGTTGACGATAAAATTGCTTTTATTTCATTATTAATAAGAGCAAGGAAAGTAACCCAAATTTTAATTAATTGACTTCATGTACGAGTTATGACGATGCAAATATATATTACAATTATCCAGTTGTGACCACGCTGCGTTTGAACTTATAATTTAAGAAACAAAGATTTTTTAAAAAAAATTACGTGACCTAGTCTAAAATTCTGCATTATAAATAATATATACCTACGCTCTATTCTTATTTCATGATGATAATGTTTATAGATTAATGAATAATTTAAGTACCTACCTATATCTATAAATCAAATTAGTTATATTGTACTTCTATTTTTCAGCTTCTTCTCAAAGGTTCAAAGACTTAAAAACCGTAAAAAAGGTACGAACTATTGAAAAATATATATGGTCTATCAGTACAAATATAAACTTACCTGGTAAGAACAGGCATAATACATATACAGTCATAATACAGGCATAATACCCGTATCAGTTATTTCTTTTTAAATGAAATTACATTTTATTTCTTATTGAACTATATAATGTTGACTTGTCAAAAGTAAGATTGCTAAGATTTCTACACATGTATTTGTATATATCCGAACAAAACAATTTAAATTTTCAATTTTAAGAATGTAAATATTACATAACATGCGAACAAAACATTGAGATCAGTAAATCACAACATATATGGGAAGTTGTGTATTTTTTATGTATGTGTAATGATGTATCACTCACCAGCAAAAAAAATGCCGTGTAAATCCGGAAATTTACCCAGTGACTGTTTTAGATTAAAATTGTGTATTTATATAAGAAATTATTTTGAATAACACCTTATCTCACTCAACCGAAACCTACCCGGGTTATGGTATTTTTTCGGCATAAATGAGTACCAGTTGAGTTTCATGCCTGAGTTTCTTCTTTTGTTTAGACGGTAGGTTACAATCATACAATCAAAATTATGTTTTTACGACACATATCGTATACGTAGATAAGTGTCTCACAGAAGCCAAAAATTATATATTTTTGTTATTATTTAATACGCAACTTGCGTCATAACTTTATTAATTATTGTAGTAATTCTATTCGTTTGTACCGAAATTATATCTTTTTCTATTATGTATTAGATTCCCATCGTTGTCATGTTCCCATGTTGTTGTATTATCTGCATTATTTTTTCTCTCCAAATTTTTATCTTAATAAATTTTATATTAATAATTAATTTAACATTACTGGTAAATACCTAAAATTGAAAACTCGCTTATCATGTATATTAAGGTATAATTAATATAATACATCATTGCAATTTGGTGATTTCTTTTATATTATATTAGTAATAGAATATTTTTTCGTCGTATACGCATATAGTTAACGTAATTACACATGTGAATAAATATTTCTTATGGTTTCTGGCTTTTTGACCTGAACATCTGTGAATGGACCACAAAAGAATAAAGCGACGGGTCGCAAACGACTATAAGGGTAGGGTATAATATGTCGAACAGCTGGCCATCAGATGAAGGCCAACTACAAGACATATCATCATTGAGTTTTTTTATTTAGTGTGTAAGCAAAGGTGCTTTAAAACATGTTTTTAAACACTGTTGTGCATCTGTAGCTAAATGTAATTCCACAGATTAAAAAGTACTTCAACTAGTTTGGGAGAAGGGAGAGTATAATCCATATTAATCTACACGCATAATAAAGTTATAACATACATAAACTTAAAGTAATGATTATTACGATTTTTCTCTGCGTGTTTGTAGGTCTAATCTCAGAAACGGCTTTACAGACTTGAATACGATTGCTAATCTGGTAGTAACATAAATGTATAGAAAATTATTTAGTTTTGTTTTAAATAGAGTAAGTGAGTAATAAATGTGGATGTCTGTTCTTACGTTCATTTTATATCTCTTTGCACCTTAACATTAAACATAATTAAAAGTACCTATATACTTACTATAAGATGTAGTATCATTATCATCTATAGGTACGACTTTTGACAAGGAGGATGGAAGCTACGCTTTATCCTAGTCAATTAGTTTGTTCGTCTAACACACGAAATGAAGGGCCCAAAATGTTGTCCAACTATACCGAAATTATAAAATATATTTTAAGTATACATGTATTAATATAACTAATATATAGCTTAACATAGCTATATTATTATTTGAACAAATATTTTTAGTTCACTGTACTAGGAGGTAGGTATATCCTACCTCCTACCTACCTACCTAGTAAGGTACCTGAAGATTTTAAATTAAATAATTAAGTAAACAATTGTTCACTTTATCATGCTAGAAGAGCTTTAGTTTAAACGTAAATTTATTTTGATACATAGTTTTTTTTTATTATTAATTACATATAATAAAAAATACAAATTTTAATCGTAAGAAAATTAATAGTCAATATACAGTTTAAGCGAAATGACTTTCAGAACAGGCGAACACATCGTGTAAGACAGAAAAAAAACAACTGAAGTAATAAATTCCTTTTAGAAGTCAATTGAAAATTAACCTCGTTAAAATAATGCTTTAAACATAACAGCGCATCGCCGCCCAACGTCTGCCGTCAGCGAGTTTCTACAAAAAAGTGTTAGGTAAACACGAATTTTAGAGGTGGTGTGACCATCGTACGATACTGCCTTGCGCTGAATGTATTCCAACAAGCGAACACAGTGCCGTAATTATAAGAGCAGTGTTACAACTCAATGTCAGGGTTCCACTGCCCGCTGCGAACTTATTTATAGACTTCCGAATTTTAATCGGCTCCCAACTCGTTTTGATTTTTATATCCTGCTACCGAATGCCAATTTCACTTTCCTTTTAATTTAATCAGATATGTATATTTAATAATTACATACTCCTTTCGAATAATTTATTAAACTCTTATTTAATTAATGTCACATTTAAAGTTTTACATTCATGAAATCCATACATGAGTTAAGATAAGTAATTAATAAGGCATGAAAATTTTACCTGTTGACGGTAAAATACATTTAGTAAAATTTATATTTACTTTAGTATCGGATTAGCAAAACCGTAGTTTATATTAATTTACAACAGACACAGTGACAGCTGTGTACTTGGAGCGAGTACATGCCCCTATTCCGTGTCTAGTCTACAGAAATCGAGTTTGGATGCACTGCAGCGTTGCCGGCTGTGAACGCCGGCTGTCAGTTCGCAAATACCCATCGGGTAGGTACCACGCCACTCACACACACTGACCGTGGCGTGAGGACTTAAAAAAATAATAAAAAAAAACTGCCAGTGCATAAAGTGACAGTGCCACAGTGAGAAGAAAATTGTGAACAGGGAAATTAGATCAGAACTAGTTTTTCATATTCGACCGACAGCGAATCAAAGTTACGATCCGACAGTTTTTAATTTCTGACGATTTGCACAATTTTACCGGTAAGTTTTAACGTTTCACTATTAATGTTATTATATTGTTTCTTTTTAAATAGTTCACTATGAATAATATTTAAAAAGGATCTGTGAATTTAAACTGCTGATGTCGGAGGTAGGTGATAAAGTTTAATCTTTCACTTATACGTTACTTATACCTGTATATGTAAATTAATGACGAATGTAAAATGTTATATACCTTAAACTTTGTCATTGAAGACTTAAACCGTATTTAAACAGGTTTTACAATTACAAATTTAATTGTACATTTAACTTTACTTCTGTAAGCAACCAAGTGCTAATTAGAAGAGAATAGTTTAAAATTTATTTACATATGGATATGGCGGGGTAATATAATGATAATGTAATGGAGGTACCTTATTATTGATCTAACAGATGTAATACTCTTAGATATATAATGTACTATTATTAGAGTATAGAATTGACACACTTACCTGGCAGATAACTTATCGCATAGGTAAATACGTAAGCAAGTATACGACATATTTATAGTAATTGTTGGTACATTATAGCCGTGATATAAGAAATTTTCTTCTTGATACTTGAATTAGAAAAAACAACCTTTTGACGAGACCAGTGAAACTCACTCGATTTCAATCAATTTCCAGCTTACTTTTCTTTTTTATTTCCGTACTTAAATCGGAGTGATCTCGAGAATATTGAATTCTTGTTAAGTAAATAATACCGAAAATTATAGATTTCAATTTTACGGCGTAATCTTTTTAGTTTATAAGATATCACATTCAGTGCCGGTAGTTGAAAACAATAACAAAATTATGTAACAATTAATAATAACAATAGTGCTGTTTAGATAATTATAAATGAGAATAGAAGACTAAGAGAAAAATAAATAAATTGATAGAATTTGTATTTCATGTCAGTTTGTATATTATTGCAATATTAATGTTCAATTTTGTATTAAGGTTAATTATTTATTAATATCAACAAATATACTAATATAATAGTAGTATATCATATCATAGTAGTGAAATATTTCGTTTTTCTGCTTAAAAAGAGTAATATCACTAGCTGTACCCGCAACTTCGTCCGCGCGAAATTTAACTTTCATTTTCTAAAGTAAAAGTGGCCTAAGTTACTCCTTATTACATTTGCTACTTGCCAATAAAAGTCCCGTCCAAATCGGTCCAGCCATTTCAGAGATTATCAAGAGGAACAAACAGACAGACAAAATTGTAAAAAAGGTTATTTTGGTGTATGTACCGTATTTATATTCATATGCATGTAGTAAAAAACGGTTATTTCAATATTACAAACAGATACTCCAATTTTATTTGTATGTATAGATAAAAAAATGAAGATTTCGGACTTTTATGAGTATGATAGTTGAAAATTATATGAAAATGTATTTATATTAAACTAAATAGTCGTATCAAGAAAGTTTATTTGGATTGTTTACTCTAATGATCACATTAGACTATAGTTAACTAAGCACACATTAACGTATTTAGTTAATTATCTGCTTGATTACTTTACAGGAACTTTGTTTTTAATCATAAAATCTAATTGCACGTTCATTTAAACTAGAATCAATTTTCGCCGTAAAATTTATAGAAGGTAATTACTGGTTTCCATAGACAGCTTGGAGGCTTCTCGGGTGCAAGTCGCTATATTACCGTAATAGCGTTATTAGCAGCCAGACTCGATTAACCTGCGACCACCATCACGAAGACACCCTCCTCGGTGGTTTCCTGGTTATAACCACTTGAGTGATGTTAATAATTTGTTCAATCTTTGCTTGGTATGTTTTGAAATACTGTAATTATTTTAAAAGAGTCTAGTTTCTAATACTTGGGTGTTTTCTGCCCTACAGTATATGAGTGATATTTACTTTAGTTTCAGTATATCAGTGATATTTGGTTTGTCTACAAAATAAATGTAGCATTTGCTTTAGAGGTCACTTATTTCTTCTTTTATAATTTACTTTGTAAATGCAGGCATGAAACAAAATAATTATGAATAAATAGATAGTTTATGTAAATGATAAACAATTGATGTCTGTTATATTTGTATTTCAAGCAATGACAGATGTCTGCTAAGTATTGTATTATTATTGTCTCTTTACATGCGACTTCGTCGGCGTCAAATTTGTCTCGATATTGATTTTCGACAATAATTAAATTATTATTATTAAAATTTTGTTAAATTGCCATTTTGCTAAATTCAGCTGTTATTTGACATAAAGCTTCATTATTCAGCATCAGATATTTCTACAGACATGTAATGAGCTCGTACAACTGATAAAATATATTTTTGTTGATATTATGATCTCTTCATTTTTTTTGACATTGGTTTAAATTGGCCAGCAGCACTGTAAGTAGGTCTGTACATACATGATGTAATACATAGTACTTACATAGGCGACATAAATTCTAAATTCTAAAACCAGCTTTATCTATAATACTCTAGCTTACACCGGTGAATTATATCAATCGCGTTATTGATAATATTGATACATGTACTTAATCAAAGTTTTCCGGGTTCAATATTCCAGGATAACAATGGCATTAAAGACGGAATTCGCTGAAATGAATAATTCAAATGATCTTTTATCGGAAGTCTAACCTAACTGGTTGTTGAGGATACTAATGTGAGGTTATTTTAAAGTTAAAAATAGACTACGTAGGGCTCTCGTGTTATCGATATTGATCTACTTATTCGTGAATGATTTTTTTTTAATAAATTATTCACAATTGGATCAATTTGATTTTAACGAAAAGTTATGATGAGTTCAATTCATATAATTACATAATAGATTTACTTACATAACAATTTTAAATAGTTTTATTATATTTCAATACGCTTAGCTAAGATAGCGTTAATGATAATAATCAAATAAGCATATGCCTTGAATATTGTTAGACCAAATGGAATATTGTGTAGTAAATAAAACATAATAAAATGTACCTATCCGATTGCGCTGGTTTTGTACCAAGCCGTCAATTTGAAACATGACTAGATAAAGTCTGTATCAATTCTTACTAAAATACCTATTCAATATGTTGGCGAATAAACATACGAACATAAAAAAGGACGGTTTGAATTACAGAGGTTCTCGAAACGATGACTAGTATTATATTTTAGAAGAATATAATCTTCTAAATATAATACTGCATCAGATAACAAACTTAATATATTATTAGCGCTATTACCGACGAATATCTATTATACTAAATACAAAAATTAAAAACGTATTACACAATTCGTTAGAATATCTCATTACAATATATACATAAATTACACGATTAAAATGATAAAGTCAGCTTTAAAAATTAATCAAATATACTATAACTGCAGTTAATTTCTTCTCATACAGTTACATTTTCTAAATGTTAATAGTGTAAATCTTTTCAGTTACAGTTTCAATAAGCAAAATCTCAAAGAATGTGGGTATGCTGTGTTTACTCGTATATTGATTCTTTTATATGATAAAGTTATGTAAATAAGATTGACGTGCATTTAAAGACACTCCAATGTGATTGATCATTATTTATTCTAAAGGATCGCCCGCCGTCACGAATTGTGTACATTTAAGAAGGATGTGACTAATAGGATATCCCATATTTTTTCTTACTGAGCATCTATGGTATTTTTTCATGGATTTAAATTTATTTCCTTCTTTAACCGTGAAATATTTATTAAACCTGATTACCCTGATTTCTTGACAGAAGCATTAATCCTCTTTCTTGTTTCTCTTATTTCTCAAAACACATCAATGATTTATTTTTGTTTTGTTACAAATCTTTTAATTAAATTAATCGCCATTTTATACGCGGTGAAAGTACTGCCTACTTTCGTCCCCTTCCCCCACTCGTTGCGAAATTATTTGGCTTGTAAATCTGTATCAACATTTGTGCATGCGTCGAATAAAAAATTGGTGTCATTAGGTCTTCACCTGAAATAACATCACGCCACATAAAATGCAACTTGTCAAGTATAATCTTGCTTAGATAGAATTTTTCTATTTTGTCTGATTTGCCTAATGCACTAAATTGCTTGCGTGGTTGTATTGTCTCGACTGGTTGAATATTCCTTTGATGACATCAGTTCGGATGACAATAGATCCGCTGCTTTGATAGAGACATGTAACTATTTAATCATTTCGATTAATTATTCATTGCAATATTGTTTGACGTGACTGCGTAATCACTTTGGTTATATAGATGGCAATTGGCTTAACAACCTGTTATCGATAGTATTAGTTAGTAAACGGATGTACTGCATATTAATACTTGTCGTCGACTATTTATCTTAGCCATTTGTAACATTAAATATTATTTTGAAAATGTGCTAAAACGTAGTATGTACTTGTAAAGTCGTTTCTATAAATAAAATTATCGTTTCTTCGGGTACCGTTAAGCCACAAATACGTTATGAGTTACGATTTGTAGGTGGTTTAGATAATAGTTCTTCCTAATTATACATACTGAATAGGTATTGCATAACTGTTATCAACGTTATATTTGACACATCTCAGTCAATGTGAGTCTAAACACAAATCGAAATTTTGCTTTAGTTTTATCAAAATATCATTAGATTTATTAAACAATAACTGAATTTATTTAACTTTAGTTTAACTTTAGTTCCGTTATTGTATCTTATTATTTTTTTATTTTCTTATGTACTGTATCTCGTGTTTGCATTTTGTTGTATTGATCTATGATTTATCTGAACGAAACGCGTGACTGACTTATTCATTAATAAGCGTAAATAGGCCATATAAGCGTAGGTGCGTCCATAGTATTACTAAATAGGTTAAAGGCCATTATTCCGAATGGGTACCACTGAAGCTATTGTAATTGTGGTTCTATTGTCACACACTGTCTGTACATTAACCTTTATGCTTGACCAGCTCTAATTATGTAATATTTTCTGGCGACTGTGTTATAAAATTTTTGTTCGAAAATGCATATAATTTTGTCGTGGATAAGTTTTGATGGAGTAACTAAAATTAAATAAATAATAAC